GTAGGATGGCGTGATATACCGTGTCGAAGGCTTTCGACAAGTCGAGTGCGACTAAGACGGTGCGGTGGGCGGGTTTGCGCTGATTCAGTCCATTCGTGATTTGGTGTGTAATCAAGTGTAGTGCGGTGGTTGTGCTGTAATTTTTCCGAAAGCCACGCTGGTGTTGTTTTGGCTGGAAATGTTCGTTAATCACGGGTAGGATCACCGATTCGAGGATCTTGGCAACGGGCGAAAGTAGGGTGATCGGCCGATAAGACGTGCCTTGATCGGTGGGCTTGCCTGGTTAGGGTATTGGGATGACGCGTCCGGCTTTCCAGATATCCGGGATGACCGACGATGCGAGTGAAAGCTTGAACACGTCCGTGAGGTATCGAAGGCCTTTCGCGCCAACGTGCTTGAGTACAATGGTGGAGATACCGTCGGGTCCGAGTGCTTTTTGCATGTAGAGTGTGGAAGTCTCGGACGGTTTTCCGTTGGTTTCGGTTTTGTTTGGTAGGGTGTTCGGTGAATTGGCGACTGAAGAGCGTGGCGCATTTTTTGGCGTTGTTGATCGAAACGCCACCAAAGGCGATCGCGGCGTTGTCGCTTCGTTTGATGGGGTTGGACAGCGCTTTGATTGTCGACCAAAGTTTTTTGACGCCTTTGCCGAAGTTGCAATCTTCCAAGTGTTCGGTCCATTTCTTGCGACGGTGTTCGTCAACTAAGCGTCGGATTTCGATGTTCAGTTGTTGAATGCGGTTATCTGCTGGGTTGGCAGAGCGGATCGAGTCGCGTTCGTCGGCAAGTATGGCTGCCGCTGTTGGGAAATTCGGCCGAACACTTGGGATGCGTACGGCAGGAATATGGTGTGCCATCGCTTTGCAAATGATTTTTCGGTAGGTTCGTTCAGCGTCGACCACATTGGTGGGTAGTTGTATTTTGGCGAATTCTGTTTCTGTTTCGGTCAATAAATGCTGGCCAGTCGGCCTTGTTGAAATTGATGAACGTACGACGCTCGGATGAGATGAACTGGGCAGCGCGTTCAATTGCGATGTGAATCGGCAGGTGATAGGAGCCCAGCGTGAGGGCAGTTGACCAGTCCGTACTGGTCAGGAGCAATGGGCTGGCAAGGCTGACGTCGGGTGAGCTGGTGCTGTTTCCAGTGACTCGTGTTTGTGATTGTCCGTTTAGAATTGTGAAGAAGCTGTCGTCGATTTGCTGTGCGATTGAGGTACCACGCTGATCGTTGGCGAGGTTCGAGTGCCACGCTTCGTGGTGCGCGTTAAAATCGCCCAGGACGAGAGCATCTTCTTTCGTCAGCAAGTGCTTTATCGATTGGGCGTAGCCGGGGTCACAACTGGTCGTTGGCGGGATATAGATGTTGTAGATGAGAATTTCGGTTTTTGCCGGACGTGATGGCAACAGCCATCTGTTCCAGATGCGCGTCAGCTGCGTTCGGCTTTGGTGCTTCAACGACGCGATATGTCACGGCTTTATGAATCATGAAGGCGAGGCCTCCGCCGTTGTTGTGCGTTCTGTCGCGTCGTATAATCGTATAATTACCGGATCGTTGTAGATTTGATCGAGCGGTAAGTTTTGTTTCTTGGAGAGCACAGAGACGTATGCCGTTGCTTTCCAAGTAGTTGGTGATTTCAGCTAGTTTGCTCGTCAGGCCGTTGCAATTGAATTGCAATATGTGGAAGGCCACGGGTGTGTGATGCTGAGAGGGTTTGTGAGCTGCCGGAACGGGCTGTTGACAGCAGGGTGCAGTGAAATTCGGGTTCCAGGCGTTCCTCTTTGGTAGTGATGAGCATTTGCGATAATGGCACCATTGTTGGCATTTGTTGCATTTTACGGAAGTGGAGTTTTTGCGGATGATGAGTTTGCAGACGGAGCAGTTCCAAACCGGGGGGCCCGAGTTCGGTTCAATGCCGGCCATTAACAAAAGCGATCGGAGCAGCCCGGCTGGCGTAGGTCGCTCCACGGACCAAAAAACGACCCGATGGTTGACGTTGAGGTGACGATCCTTGGTCTAAGCGCAGTAACGCATCGAGTGGCTCCGGTACGTAGACCCGATCGTCGTGAGAGCCTGAAGCTTTATGAAGCTTCATGGTTGGGCGTCCTTACGGGGCTTTGGACATACAGGTATGTGAATATTCGAGCCATTCAATGATGTAATAGTTCTATATAGGCCTATATAAGGCACAGTATTTATCCGTATTTCTCGTCTATATCTTGTGTGAGTGATTGGACTCATATAGCTGCATCTGAAAAATGGTTTTCGATACTTTTTCATACGACTGTTATTTTGAATGGAAGTTTAGTCTTATTTGAATACGATACGGCTTGATTTTGGATGGAAGGGTAGAATCCGATTAGTGTAAAGTTTTTCTGGTAACAAGATGTCGCGCGAATAGTGGCAGGTTCAGTGTTCATTAAACCACGATTACAGTAAAATACTTTATTGCACGAGACATCACATTCCAATAAGAGTTTTCTTCAAACATGTGAACTGTAGCACTTGTTCACATTAATGGCTTGACAAATGGGCAGCGATTAGTTTTCAGTCTACTGGGATAAGCTTCACGAGACACAAGACGCTGCTTTAAAGACCACATTCCTACAGCTACCTTTGTCTACCCGCAATCTCTGACCACGGTTCAAATACTCTCTAAAACATTCTCACAATTCTAACACTGATCAATTCTAAATTGACAACACATTTATTTACTAAAAATCTAATACATAATAATAAAATGACGTTTAATCCATGACCTGTACATATCACCCCCCACCAAGAGAAATCATTTCACTTAAAAACTCGCATATTGTAAATTCAATAATCTGTACACATTACATTTCAAAATTTAGCTATAATACAGATTTATACAAATCGTAATAATGTTTAACGTATTTACAAATCCTATTTACAAACCACTTGCTCTCACTTAAAAGATCAATACATAATAAATACATCTTCACTGAAATGACAAATCTAACGCAATTTTATTCAGACAGATTATTGCAGTAAAACTTGATCCAGGCATGAACCGGAAGTTTATTGTCGACAAATTAATACACGTTTCACAAACTCATTACACTTACACCAAGCAATTACTGACGTCGGCCTTGTTTCCTTGATGCAAATTCTAAAACATTCGACTGTATATTGGGGTGACTCGCAACCGGTTCTTATTATAGGCAGCTGTGTCATAATATCAGACGCCTCAACCAAACGTCAGGCTTTTCAGAGATATTCTCACATTTCTAACCCTGGTTAATTCTTAATTGGCAACGCATTTATATACTAAAAACCTAATAGCTAACAATAAAATAACATTTATTTCAAGGCCTCTAAAACGACAATACTTGCATATGTATAAGCTTACTCCTGAAAGATTTAGAACAGCCACTTTTTGCTTTAACTAACATATTGAAGAGAACAACCATCATTTCTTCTTTAGTTTATTAAGTATTATAAGGCTGGTTATGTTACACCAAAGATTTCAAATGAATTTTAGCATTTTTTCTTAGTTAGGAGTGTTGCGCTCGAGAAAGTTTATTGTATATAAATGAGCAGGAGCAACTTTCCATTTGTCAGTTGTTCTTGTCATGCTTTATGTTTCAACGTTTTGAAGGAAGCTGTTTTTTCTTACTAGCAACATTGGAGGAAGCTGCTAGTAAGAATGGTAAAGTCTCATATTTTCTGCCATGAGGATAAGCGACTAGAGCGTCGACTGCTATAAATTAAATTGCTGAATTTAAAACTGTTCTGTTGTGTTATTTTCTAAGCGGTGTGCTTGTGGGAAACACGCCTCTTAAATTTTATTTACATGTGCAATCATTGGAGATGGACAAATTATAACAAGTGTCTGATGGTTCCGCCTATTTCTTCAATCATTACACTGCCTCCCTTATTATCGCATTATGTTGTTCTAGTTATCTATATTATTCGTATAAATTCTTCAGCATAAGTTTCCGTCGTTCTTTTCAGAAACAACTTCGTGGCGAAATAAAGCATCATTTAGTTACCTGTACTTCAACACTGTGGCATATATTATACGTAAATTTAAATTTTCCCCAATCATTTTACAGATATAATACAAAATTAATTACGGCTGCTAACAGATAACTATTCGACCTCACAATTAAATTGACTTCTTTACATCAATATCCGTTATATTAAACGAAAAACATGTTATGAACACTTCTAAATTACACTAGGTTTGTCACTACATACATTTATAATAATATTGCCTTATTATGAAACATGTATCACAGCTCATAAACTAATGTGCAAGTCATATTTTAGATTTCCTTAATAGAATTCGTTGTAATATAATTAGTGCCCCATTAATAATTCCTGCATAATCTACATTATGAATCTATGACATGGGTTGTGTATTAACGTGTCTCACTGAGGGTTGTGTGTTACCGTGTCTCACTGAGGGTTGTGCGTTACCGTGTAGGGCGATGTGTTACCGTGTCTGTGGGCGATGTGTTACCGTGTCTAACTGAGGGCGATGTGCTACCGTGTCTCACTGAGGGCGATGTGTTACCGTGTCTCACTGAGGACGATGTGTTACCGTGTCTCACTGAGGGCGATGTGTTAGCGTGTCTCACTGAGGGCGATGTTTTACCGTGTCTTACTGTGGGCGATGTGTTACCGTGTCTAACTGGGGCGATGTGTTACCGTGTCTAACTGGGGCGATGTGTTACGGTGTCTCACTGAGGGCGATGTGTTACCGTGTCTTACTTTGGGCGATGTGTTACCGTGTCTTACTGCGGGCGATGTGTTACCGTGTCTAACTGGTGCGATGTGTTACCGTGTCTTACTGAGGGTTGTGTGTTACCGTGTCTCACTGAGCGTTGTGTGATACCGTGTCTCACTGAAAATTGTGTGTTACCGTGTTTCACTGATGATTGTGTGTTACCGTGTCTCACTGAGGGTTGTGCGTTACCGTGTCTCACTGAGGTCTGTGTGTTACCGTGTCTCATTGAGGGCTGTGTGTTACCGTGTCTCACTGAGGGCAACGCACCACTCGTTCCAATGAGTCACTACGCACCACTCGTTCCAACGAGCCACTACGCACCACTCGTTCCAATGAGCCACTACGCTCCACTCGTTCCAATGAGCCAATACGCACCACTCGTTCCAATAGACCACTTTGTGAATGTTTATTTTCCGTTATTGCTTTAGCCAAGTCTTGCACTGAGGACGATGAACCGCGATGCTCCGCTGGATGCCAAGAATCGCTGTTCTGCACTGAGCCTCGTCGGGATAGCCCCACTCTCTCTGCTGCTCTCTGCGAGCCAGAAGAATTATCGTTAATATATAATTTCTTAACAAATACGTAAATTCATAAATTTATAACTGGTATAAGATGATGGTGAAAATCCACCATTACCTTACCACGATGGGTCTGCACCTTAAAATAGCCCCTTCACCTGAGAATGAACATCATGATCAAAATTCCAGATCTTCATTCTTATTCCTAAGAATATATATCACATCAATATCACATGCAAAGAGTTTGGTGTATAAAAACTATATTAGTCATTGTTGAGTGAGAGTACAATAATATGCAGTAAACGCCTCTGGAAAAGACAAACAAAATCCTAGTTTCAAATTTTTAAAACGCAAGTACCGCAAATCTTCTGTAGTGACTCGAATTCACATCTCGCACTAGCATTTCTCTCGAATGTCATAATTAATTGTATTAAACCTTCAAACTCGTGATTATCGACCTCTGTAACAGTATTTTACTAAATTTCATTTAAACGATTTCATCAATTTCATTTCAAACCATTGTAAAAGTGTACAGTTAGTCAATCATCAATTTTGAGCACGAATAACACTCGTGTAATTACTAAATAATGAAGTTTAGTAGAGGTCAAATTATTTTATGTTAAATCGTACCATAAAAAATATTGTGAAATTTCTTAAGAACGACAGCGGAGAACCATTTGCCAAGCGCGCACTAGCTATAGAGCATTTTTCTGAACGACGCGTGGGGTGAACATCTAAAGGGGGTGTTGATCGGCGGATTCCTTCTTCAACCCCAATAAACTATCTGAGCTTCACAATCTTCACTCCAACCTAATCGATATAATACCATCTATCAATTAAAGGAGGAGGGACGGCAAAATCTTATTCAATTTCAACCACAGTTCAGAAAAACCTAAACCCTCCCTCCAAAGTGGTGACCACCTTCGCTACGAACACCCAACTCGGAAGAAAATCAAGAAAATCCTCACTATGAGATAAAATCTACCCTTGAAGTTGCCCATCAACACCCCCGGAAAACCCCTAGGGCCTAATCAACAATTTTCAACCCCCCAACTCTAACGGCCAGAGCAGATTGCCAGAATCTTCATTCCTCAAATTTTGTTGCATATCTGCCACCTAGGGAATAAAATTCTTCATGCATTCTGATCCTAGCAAATAAATATATTCAACCTCTAGATACTTTCCCTTGTTAATTAGGTATACGCTCAAGAAACAACATATCATCACGCCGCTCAAGTACCCTGCCCTGAAAGACCTGCACGTGGAACTTCAACTCTCACGACCAGACTGGAAAAGGAAGGCTCAACCTTCTGCCTACTGCCCTCAATATCAGCAGCCAAAACTTAAGCAATGAGTGAGTGAAATTCAAGAAAATTTTTAGTGAAACCAGTGTAGAATTTTTTTTGTGTATTGAGATCAGTGTTGCCATCCTTTCAGTGTAAACTGTGTATCAATATTGTCTCGCACTCGCAGCATTGCTGCTCTCTTGAGTTTCATTACTAAAACATCCTGTGAAACATGCTTCTAAACGTGCGAATTGACACAGAAAGTTTTCCAATGTGCAAATTGACTGAAAGTTCTCAAATGTGCATTTGTGCAAAATACTCTGAAACCTGCTAGAGTGTGAAAAATAACTGAAAATTCATTGCAATGTCACATCTTCAACGTCGAGTGAAAATAAAAATGTTCGCGACTACTGACAATTTGAAGTACAAACCGCCTGAAATGTGAATCTCTTTAGGTACCATTATGATTTATGCTTCTTGGCATATGCTGTGTAGTCGCTTCTCAAAGTTGCCACAAAATCAGCAAAGCCACAGATGTGTTATTTCGTGATGTATTCTGCACTTTTTAACAACATATTTTTTTATTGAATGTGTCAGCTAGCAAATTTTTTTACAATTGTTTTGATGCACAAAGCTATAAGTTTCCTATGGAACCTAGCTGCCATAAATTACTCTCAATCTCATAGCCAAACTACCTGTATAATTAATGAGAAAGTTGTATAACTGGATTCCCTGTTCCACTATCAATTAGTGCTAACGATTGTCATGCCTACAACTTAATCTTTTCTTTTCTGCCCTATATTTTTTTCCATGGACTGAAATTTGTATTCAGGCACTCTCTTTTACGCCTTACTATGCCTGTTGCAAAATGAAGTCTCACTCTAAAACCTAACTTGGACAAGTTGAGTGAGAGAACCCTTCATCGAATTGAAGCAAGCTCTGCTTAACCATGTTCCGTTGTACTCATCTCACGGTTGTACCAATCTCTCGGTTGTACTCATCTCTCGGTTGTACCCATCTCTCGGTTGTACCAATCTCTCGGTTGTACCATCTCTCGGTTGTACCCATCTCTCGGTTGTACCCATCCTCCGGTTGTACCCATCCCTCGGTTTTATGTTATCGATGCTACCTCGCCGCAAACGCGATTCTCTATTAATTACCTCCTCATACGCGTTTCCAAAAGAATAATGTCTATGCATTCGTATTTAAAGATTACTGATGTTTATTGACATACACAATGTATGCCCACAAACGTCTGGTAACTTTTTTTGCTCTCTAGAGATGAAACTTGACGTCGGTCATTCCTTGACCTCTCCTCTCATCCATGATGAAGTATAAATATTGCTCCAGTGTATTTTGATAACATCTCGTTTTATGTCATAATTGCCTATTGACGCAAATGCTATCGATCCTATATGTATTGCTACAGCACAGGCTACAATGAGTCTCTGCTAATTCAGTACCGGGATGAACGGTATCTTTTTTGTCGATTTGCATTACTTTTGTGATTGTCATTGTATCTCAATATTTTCTTGGGGAACTCCGTTCTCGCCGGGGAAGTCATGTAGTGACTCGAATCCACATCTCGCACAAGCATTTCTCTCGAATGTCATAATTAATTGTATTAAACCTTCAAACTCGTGATTATCGACCTCTGTAACAATATCTTACTTAATTATCTTGATCTCGCTTATGTATTTCAGATTTCATCAATTTCATTTCAAACCATTGTAAAAGTGCACAGTTAGTTAATCATCAATTTTGAGCACGAATAACACTCGTGTAATTACTAAATGATGAAGTTTAGTAAATGTCAAAATTATTTTATGTTAAATCTTACCATAAAAAATATTGTGAAATTTCTTAAGAACGACAGCGGAGAACCATTTGCCAAGCGCGCACTAGCTATAGAGCATTTTTCTGAACGACGCGTGGGGTGAACATCTAAAGGGGGTGTTGATCGGCGGATTCCTTCTTCAACCCCAATAAACTATCTGAGCTTCACAATCTTCACTCCAACCTAATCGATATAATACCATTTATCAATTAAAGGAGGAGGGACGGTAAAATCTTATTCAATTTCAACCACAGTTCAGAAAAACATAAACCCTCCTCCCAAACTTCTACAAGCAAGCTCTGCTTGTGAAGCACCACACAAGAAGCACCTTTTAAGAAATAAGCAGGCAAATTATATATTTGAAATTAATTTCCTTGATTCGGTTTAGCTCTGTTGATTCGAGCAGGGTAATGACTTTCTCACATGTTGTAAACCCTCAAAATACCCCGAGAAGCCATAGTATTGGAAATTTCGTGCACAATAAAGAAAAAAGATAACGAAATGTTAGGCCCATGAAAGACTTAACTTTCCCCAACAAACTTACCTCAAAAGAACCTGCAGCTGCAGCATCGTGATTTGCATCAATTCTGATGTCATCGATCATGGCCATATCATCACACTTTACAATCTCCAGTTTTCCTGTCTCGTCGTGAAACAGTCCAACCGAGAATGAACGTTTGGACGAGTCAGAGTATTTTTTTACGACCCAAGCTTCAGCCGCAATCTCTTCCGAAAAACTTTCAGAGTTTAGCACTATTTGATCCGCTAATTCAGCTCTAAGTTCAGCGACAGATTTTACAATGCACTTCCTTGCCAGAATTTCGCTGAATGCCTCAAAAACACAACAATGTGATCGTCCTTCTATCTTCTTAAACTTGCCATCACTGTTCAAGCAAAGAGCAAAGCTAACCCTCCTCTCACGGTCCTCTTTCACATACATCACTTCAACATCATTTTCAACGTCCTCTTGGGTCTTAGTATACTGTAGATCATCTACGAATTTCACCTTGATGCCGTTGGCTTTGGCCAGAGTCGACATTAGTGCAAGATTTATTGACTTTCCTTCTCTGATATCATTTGCCATTCGATGGACACTCGGGTCTAATGGTATTCTAGTAGCATCATCAGTGATAGTATTATAATTCAATCCATCGTTGCTATGAGTAGTTAAATGATCCCTGGCGTTGCGGTCCAACAGTTGGGTCACGGTTCTGAATTTGCGATAGTTGGCCATGAAGGTCAATTCTTCTTCTGTCAAACCTGGTTTTACCAACAGTTTCTGGTATTTGATTTCAGCACCGTGATTGGAAATGGAGTCCGTGAGGCCATTCTCAGCCATCGAATAACCTGGTGGCCATGGCTGCATAAGCAGTGGGTCCATCACTTTCACCAACTGTTGGGCTATCTGGTCTGACACTGACTTGATGACTGTGCTAACGCATTCAAAGTCACTGTTAACGAATGTATCATACAATTCGTTAGTGAATTCTATGCATTTTTCCAGATCTGCCTTCAGGGTGGAGTATTCTTTAAGTTGTCTAGACAATTCATCCATAAGTAGTTGTGGCGTTGTCTTCCAATCATGCATCAATTTGTCGATTTTTTCCTTTGTTGTTGTTTTTCCGTCGACCAAAAAGTTGTCATTTTCATCAAATATTTCAAGCTCCTTTAGTTTTTTGGCAATTACAATAGCAAAGTCCTTCCTTATCTTCAGGTCTCTTATCAGAATGAGGCTAATTGTTGAGGAATATGCGTCAAACACCCGAAGTTTTGTCAGGAGAGCTTCGATTATCTTGTCAGCGAGTATATTTACCTGGTGCAGTCCATTCAGTGTCGTGATGACCTTTGTTGGAATGCTGGCATTGCCTCCGTTCATGTTCGAGTCCGATAGTACACACTTGATTAATGGCGAACAAATGGAAACATTCTCATTCTTCATAAAATCTGTGATGACAATGCTGGAAGTTTTTTTCACAATGTTGTCAACTTTGATCTGAAGTCGGTGGGACTTGGCGACCCGATCAATTGCATTCAATTGCCGCAAAATAATCACGAGTTCAGGGTGACGTTTAAATGCCGATGTCACTTTTGACTGTACTGACTCACAAATTTTAGGTTTGAGAAGAGCAAAAGAAAAGTCAGACAGGTGTTGAATGGCGGTGCTCGTGCATTCTTTTGCCACGGCCATCGCAGCTTTTCTGCAAGCTTTACCTGCCAGACTCTTCAGATTCTTGCTTGTATTCAAAACCACCTGACCGGCCAATTTTCTATTTACGACGACCTGTACGCCTGCTTGTTCCATCACTTCTCGACCAACTTCGGAAAACACAGCTGAAGAGGCTGCATTCAGGCCCGTTTCCCAGTAATTAATTCCCATAGTAGCAGCTGAAATCGCCAAACTCACTGTTTTCTGTTTGCTGTAGTCCCTCCAATTGAACTGTCTTGTTTTATATGCTTTGAATGCCATGGGCAGGTCAGACGCTCCTTCCGTCACAATACCCCAGCCAAATGGGGACCCAAGACCAATGGCTATCAGTACACTTCCAATAATAATTTGGGAAATGCCAAGTGCCGCCACTGCAGCCACGCTTCGCCATGGAACGAACAGCTTTTCATTCAGCTCAATGATGTGCTCGAGACCTCTGGCGGCAAACTGGTCAAGTTCATATGCCGGCGCTGAGCCTTTCGTAAACAAATCGCGCACATTCTTAACACTGGTTATCTCCATGTCTTCTTGTTCCAAGTTAGCACCATTCAGGATGAATGATACTTCTTTGCTTGATAACTTCTGGAATTCTAAGGAAAACTCAAAATTCTTCTTTCTTAGCTCCTGAATAACTATTTCCGCAGAGGTTTGGTTTAATTCAGTAAAACTGAGGTCAGCTTTTCCTTTGAGTGCAGCATTGTATACATCATCAATTTCACAAAAGGAAAGAGAAATTGCTGCATTTTCACTGCAGTTCTTCACGATCTTATTTGCTTGATCAAACTTCAGGTCGTCAAATCTTACATAGCAGAATGAATGGTCTTCTTTTTGTTCATGCGCTCGCACTATCAATAACTCCCTATTGAGTTTTTCGTGCACATGATTCTGGCCGACCAACAACGTGCCGCTCGCCAGTGATGCGTCGAGGTTCAATAGATGCAACAAATCTGACTTGTTGAGGGCTAGGCCAACGTGAACTAAATTTGAATTGATGGATTGAAGCTTTGCTTCTGCTGCTTTTTGATTCAAATCATGGAATTCAACATTTAGAATGACTGATGCCTTACTTAACTTGTTAGTTTTTATCACAATGTCAAAACAAAGGTCGGCGTTTTCCATTTTTCCTTCGACAATCTTGACCAATTGATTGGTTTGCATGCCGTTGAATATTTCCTCAAACTCATCGTCATCATTTGAACGAATCACTAGGCTTATTTTACGTGACTCTGATCGCTCCTGTTTGAGTTCTAATAAGGCCTTTTCCCCTCTCAGACCTTTCAACTCTTGGTCTGTATTAAAAAAAGCACTGATGACACTTTCGATGTCAACTTTATTCACGTTAATTTTGACATCCCTGTACGATTCTTTGGCCAAGGAACTGAATCCGTCGAGTGAAAACTCCGACTTGGCTGATTGAACTAAATTTTTCAGCCCAAATAAGTTATGTTTCTCATTATGTAAGAGATTTTTATCAAATGCATTGTCTAGAATGATTATAGCTTGATCAATTGTCTTCAAATCCTCCCTTGTGGTTAAATGATTGAAAGTTAGAGAGTAATTTTCTCCACTGCTCAGTTTCAGGTTTTCATTCTTGAATAGGCATTTCTCTTGATCACTTCTTTCAAGGTCATTGTGGTGGGTGATGGTTTCTAGAATGCCCGGCTTGCCAGCTGTGACTTCGTGGCGCTTGACTGCTACCAGGTCAATCATCCGCTTTGACCTTTTCAGAGCGTTTATGGAGGACTCGATGCCGTTCATGTAAGAACCGATTATTGAGGCTTGTGTGTTCAACTGGTTATACAGCGGGCTGTCGACAAACCCAGCCTGCCTCTGCTCTAAGAGCAATTGTGTGGCATTGAGTACACTCATTTCATTTGCAAGGCACTTCAACGCTACTTTAAACGATGACAGTGCCTCATCTTTGTATCCCTTCTCTTTCAGGAGTAACTTGCACCAGGCAATGCCCACATGTGCTGCTCCGGGTGAGAACACATCTTTTTCCTCTTGTGAAACTTCTACTGATTTTGACGATGTTTTCAGCCTTTTTCTCTGATTGGAATGGTCCAAATGCACCGCTTTTTGGAAGAACCCGAGGGCTTCATTGGTGTTGGAGGTAGGCACGGTCCCTGTATTCACAAGCATGTCATTAGCAATTGTTATGAGGTAGTACGGATTCTTGAAAAGCTGATTTTTTCTGAAGTAAATTCGAAGCTGATCAATTAGAGCTCTGCATTTGTCTTCTGCTTCTTCACATTTTATCTCGTAATTATCCAGTTTTCTTAGGAAGGCAGCCCATTGCTCTTCCAAAGCTGCCAGCATGCAAAGCTCATAAACAGTTGGCTCACCCTCAGTAAACCAATTACGCACTATGCTGAGTTTGCTACGAGTTTCTTTTCTTATCTGAACTCGCACCTCATTCAAGAAGGAGCAAAATATGTCAAAGAGTTCGTCTTTCACTTGTATGAGTTTGAGTTCATGGTTTTGGAAGGTGTGGAGTTGCTCGGATTCTATTATGTCTCTTTGCTCTTTCATAGTTTTATTGGACATTCCTATTGTATTTCCGCGAAAACCATCCCCATTTTGGGCATTCAGGATCATGATACCAGTGCCACGTCTGCCCTGCCGGGCCGTCCTGCCAAAAGCTTGATCTTCGACCCTCTGGTTGGTTGGCATGAACGTCAGAATGACGTGCAACCCGCCAGTGGCCTCGATTTCATCTGTTCGTATGTCGGTGCCGCGTCCAGCTAAGTTTGTGGCGATGATGACTTGTCCAGGCCGAATTTTTTCGATATTTTTCTCTTGATTCACATCATTAATAGTGTACAGCTTGAGCGAGTGCGGGTGCAGTTTATTTTTTACCAGATCACTAACTTGAACGGCACTTTCGATTGTTTCACAGACAACTAAAATTCCTCGTTTTTTTTTAGACTCCAGCACAATGTTGGCCGCGATTTCTTCCATCCAACTATCCTCATCTTCCACAACAATAGATTCAAGTTGCAGGAATAGTTTCTTACGTTTCTCTGGGATGTTGAGAAGTTGTACCGAGTAGACGCTTTTCAGCAGCTTCCTCGCAGCCTTTGACCCAAGAGTTCCGGTTAGACCACACACATGTTCATATTTATGAACGAGTCCCACATTGGAAAGGAAATTGGTGATTAGCGTTTCGCTGGTCATTTTCAAATTGTGCTTTAGTTGAAGAAACTGTTGAAGCCCATCACCCCAGCTTGTAAAACTTTGAACTATGCCGGTGTTGTGGTAGTCAACAGGTTTAATTTTCCCGTCCTGTACTATATACTGCACATTTTCCTGGAAGCGTAAGGCTTCCACAGCATTTTTAATCCACTCAGACTTTTGATTTTCTATGAAATTTGCGAAATGTCTTGGAATATAAATCGTATTTTGCTCCATCACGTCGTTAAGATAAAACATTAGAGAGTTTCTAAGGAACTCATCCAAGTCTTCAACAGCCTCAGCAAGTGGACTTCGGCCTCTAACTTGTGCAAAGTGGACTTCCAAGTCAGGGATTTTCATGATATCGCCATTTGCATCAGCATACTCCAAAGTGAAGGCGCCATCATCAAACCCTAGGGTACCCTTAACGAAGTACAACTTGTTGTTGACCATAAATAACCTGCTTTTGATCGAAACCAGGTGCTGCCAAATAAAGACATAAAGCGCTTGAAGATGGTCAATCCCTGGGACAGTTGAGGAAAGGCGAGCAATTTTTGAACTGTCGTCTATCAACATGCTATCTACCTCGTCCACAATAGCCACACATAAATTCCTATCACCTAAAGTGTCCAACTTGCTGTAGTTGTCTCTTAGTATGTCAAACTGAAACTGTGACATCTCACCATATACTATGTTAGCCGAATAGCAATCCTTCTTGCCTTTCAGGTAGATAGTTTTGTCACTGTTGTCAGAGCATTTGAGGTTAAACATTTTGTATAACTTTGCTTGCTGCTTAGCATCCCTTTCAGCTAAAATTGGTGAGCTGGTGAGGATGTCCACATTTTTGCCTCTTAGAGAATATATTATGGCTAGGATAGAAATGATTGTAGACTTCCCTTCACCAGTAGCTACTTCTAGTAACTTACCGTTGTTACTTCCGACTGTTTTCAATGCTATTAAACTGCACAATATCTGGGGATATGTGAGTTCGTGACCATTGACGAGGTAGTTGGCTCGGTAGATGACTGCAATTGCCTCATTGTCAGTGAATGTCTTGCCAGATCCTGGCTTGAACTGTTCAGCCCAACTAACAATCTGTTTTTTATTCCAGGTCAGTTTGTCTTCCTGCTCCTGGAAAATGGATTGCTGGATATTAAGGGAATTTTGTTCCTTGAGTTTACATACAAGTTCTGATTCCGATTGATTTTTATCTCGCAACTCATCCAGAAGCTCATTGAGGTCTTTCACTTTACCTTCCACCTGGAAGTGATTCTCGACTGCCAATTGATGGATTTCCTGAATGATCTCGTCAAAAGTTGGGCATTCTGTCACAATTTGCTGGCACCTTTTAATGCATGGAGTGGAGAACAACCTGTAAGCATGAATGGTGTTCAACAAGTTGATCAGATCAGGAAATTGATTGACTGGCCCACTAGGGTTGAATGCAGACACCAATTGGTGCAATTGTCGTAAGTTCCACCCAGCATCCCGGAGAGCCCGAATTTTGTCTTGAAATTTTTTCTTCTCGATTTCATTTTTTGGCTGACATGAGACACATTTCATTAGATGCTTGCCCTGCACAAATTGCATTAAATCCTCGACGTGAACAAATCTTTGAACCTCAATCTCACTGAAGAGAATTTCTTCTTTTGAACAAAATTCGATGAGCTCTTCAAAGACAACCAGATTGTCAATTAGTGGCAGGCAGGAAAACATTTGCTGCATGTAATGTATATTGAATTGGGAACACAGTTTTCTAGCTAACTCTTTGGCATACTTATCACTGATACCATTTTTTAGTGTGCACTGGGATTGGATCTTGCTCGTGCACCAATGTTGTTTCAACGCTTCGAAAGGTTCCGGGCCATGAATATTCAATAGATGGAGAATGATATCAAATGGCTGTTCAGGGATTATTGAAATAAGTTCAAGGACCTGAGTGAAACTGTGAAATTCGCACTTTTGGATGAGAGACAAGATTTTACAAGACTTTTCATCACCAAATTCTCTCTTAATCCTGGACCATTTTGAGTCAAACTCCGTTATGTCCAACTGACAGGCACTGAAATATAGGAAAATGCTTGAAGTCAACAAATTTTTTTCCCACATTTCCTTTCTGCCATCTAATGGAACTGTGACATCAAATATCCTTAAGGACACGATGATCTCTATCAAGTCCAAAAAGTTTTCTGATTGCTCAATTTTCACATTCAGGTTCTCCCTCAAACTGACCAACCTGACATTGCACCAGTCAATCAGAACTTTTTTCCAATTTTCTTTTGTTGAATACTTCAGGATTCCGAATGAGTAACCTCTGATTTTTGAACTTTTGGAGACAAGATTATCGAAAGCAACTTCCAAACAGATATCTGGAAGTTGCTTAAACTGTTGTGCATGGTACATGGCCTCAAACAGACGGGTATGAAGATGAGACAAATCTCTTTCATTCTCACTGAAGTGAAGTACTAATGCCTGCAAACACTCCACCTCTTTGTAGCACTTCCGCTCTTTGATTATCGTGCAATAACATGGCAGTGTTATTTCCAGGAGAATTTTCTTAAGCAAACACTGCTCAACGAAAAGAACAAATGCTTGATTCTTAACACAGTCGGGTTCTTCAATGACCACCAAACGGAGAAAATCTTCCACATTTTTCGTCTTGCAAACATAATGCCTTGCTGGGAGTAACTTATGCAATTTTAACAAAGTTTCATTTGTGAGCTCAAACTCCCTCGTTAGTTCCTTGCATAAGGAGCTTTGAAGAAATGCTTGCACATTTGCGTCCTGATTCAGCTCTGTGTCCCACAATTGCCAAGCTCTACCACTCAAAGTCTTCCCACTTTTTACGATCTCTGTTAACAGTTCCAGACACGACTTCCTCAATGTGTCGGATACGGTGCTCTCGAATAAAATGGCCACGCTATCCAACAGTTGATCAGAAATTTTTGCTTTATTCGAAACTTGACGCAAAACACACAAAGCCTCCTCTTGCAGCTGCATGCTTTCATTGTCGATTATGTGTATAAGTTGAAGATAATTTTGTTCGAGCAAACTCCCATTGACATTTGTATAGCATTTCAAATGTTCGAGCACATTTTTTGGTGAGATGAAGTGCAAGTTGGCAAGATGGAGTTTTTCCCTGAACTGCTTCAACTTGATGACAGGGTTATACTCGTCCTTAATAAGACCAAAAGTCAGTGCGATTTCGTTCCTCACATATTCGTTACAGTCGGATCTTGTTGCAACGTCCACTAGTTTCTGGAGCAGGTCTTCATCTACATGTTTGCAAAACGTGATCAGTTTGCGGACAGCAGTGATGCACATGTTTTGAACGACGTTGTTGTCAGAAGAAATTTGTTCTGTCAGAATTTGGTTCACTTGAGGCAAGTAACGTCCAATGTCGGTTTGATTGGCTTCAATGAGAGATCCCAAGCAGCTGAGCATTTCCAATTTCAGAGCTGGGAGCTGCCCAGTTGACAGCTTGTTAAGAAGTATCATGTTCAGGTTCGGAGTGAGCTTTTCACCCTTTTGGGCCTGATAAATGAACACCTTGAGAATGCTTGGCTCCATAGTGTCATATGCCATTGCTAGTTCAAGTTTTTCCAGAAGGTCAGAAGACAAAGTCTGGTTGTTGTTTACTGCATTTTCAAAAATGGCGACAATGAGGGTGCTCCTATTGATGTCATCAGCAGTTACTGGATTTATCGTAAACAATTCGGTCAGACGGTCTAGTATTCGCTGTGAAATAATTTGATGGTTTCCTGATGCATTGGCGACAATTTTCAACACTCCTGTGTCACAGAGTTCTTTCTCGAGAGCAAGAATTGTGTCAACTGGCAGCAGCATTCCCCTATCAATGTAACTATCGATGAAGTTAATCAACATGGACCTGTCAGCAGCACCAATGTCTAATGAATATCCTGCTCTAGCCAGCTCAAGTTTCCGAAAAATGTCATCAGGAATTTCTTGGTTTTGGCTGGCTCTTTGGAGCAACTCAAAGGATTTATTTCTGCGTTGTGCGTTTGATGAGTTGTATAAGCAATCTACGAGAACGGTTAAAGTCTTGCATGAAACTGTAGAATTACCATTGACAATGACTCGATGCGTAACCGAAAAAGCCTCTTCGAAAAAGTCAGGAACAGAAAGAAGTTTCTCCACTGTTCTCACAACGGTATCTGGTACTATGAACTTACATGAGTAAGAATTGAGTATGGCAAGTATTTGAGAGACATATTTTTGGTTCAATTCAAGAACAGTTTCAAAAAGCGTGAAGATATCATCAATGAATTCATGCTTCTCGGATTCACACAAAAGCACTTCAAAGAGGTTGGTGTTGATTTCACTTTCAAAGTCAACTTCACCTAGCTTCAGACTTCCAGGTACATAAAGGTCGCTTAGTTTTTCCAAGTGGGCTGGATGGAGAGGCACAGGAGATGGAGCAGAAGCCACTTTTGCACATGCTTTCATGTACGCAGCTCGGACATACACACTCACATCATAGGTTGGAGAGCTTATAAAATCCAGTAACTGATTTAAAATCCTATCTTCAAATATGGTGTATTCTGTGAGTCTGTATAAGATTTTGGCAGCAACGATTTGTGTCTTTTGGGTTTCATTTTTGCAGGAAGACTCCAAAACTAGGAGTAGATTATCAAAGGTCTGAGGCCTCACAATCACCTTTTTTTCTACCGATGTGAAAATTATATTTGCAGCTAAAAACGAAATCTGGTTGCTGGGATCTGGGGGTTCTGCCAATCCTGCCTTTGGTTCCGAAATTTTGACCAGTTCATCGTCATATTGATTTAACTCAACCACATGGTTGCTCAACAGCTTGCTTGAGACTAATTCAATGAGGCAAGGGTCATTGTAAAAACTCCGCCATGAATTTCCCTGACTGCAAAAAACCCTACTCAGAATGAACACCATGAAGCTGGTGTATTCTTCATTTTGAAGACTCTTCAACTCTTCTCGGAGATCTTTCAAAATGCCTTCGGTCATCAATTGCTTTTTGTCAAGTGACAACAATAGCACTGTTAACCCTGCTTTTTTCAAAGAAATTTCGTTCGACATGAAACAGGATTTTAGCAAATTTTCCAAGTTCCTGTCACTCATAGCGAGGTTGTTCTCATGTTGTAGGTAGGTGCTGATTATCTTCAGGACTTCCAACTTTTGATTTGTTGAGTACAAAGAAGATACTCCCACTAATTCCATTAAGATTTCCAGGACATTTGCCTCGAACAACTCTTTGCTCGTTTTTTCGTTTCTGGCTTGCTTGAGTATGAATTTAAGAATGTAATCAACATTTTCCAGTGACTTCGGCTGCAAATTACTGAGGTGTCCTCTGAACGTCTTGGCGTAATCAAAATCTTCCATAGTTTCAGTAAGTTCAAGGAGCTTGTAAATGAAGTCTGTAAATTTTTTACCGTCCGGAATTTTTTTTTCTGTCTTGTGAGCATAGTCCTGGATTTTCTTCATAACTTCTTCCGTCAAAACTGTCTTCTTGTCTCTGAGAGCACAGTTGTAAAGTGCATTGACGGCATCTTGCCTGACGAGATTTATTTCTGCAATGATAATCTGCTTGATTTCTTCTCTGTCGTAAGACTTTTTCCTGACTCTCACTGCTTTGAAAAACAATATTTTTTTCTCATACTCTTCAGCTGTTCTATTCATGATTTCTTCCACAAAATTGAGAAGGATGTCCGGATCAGTAATCTTTTTTAACTTCCAGTATTTTCCCCACACCGCATCCACAAAGAATGTACAGAAGTCTTCTGGAATGTTCAAAAGAGAAACTAGACCTTCAAAATTAGTGACACACTGCAACAATTTCGAAATTGCATTTGCATTCAACTGCTGTTTCATTGACATTTTTAGGAGTGCGGACGCACACATCCTGTTAACAAAGAACGAATAAAATGTATTCCTGTAGGCATTGTTAGTCCATATGTAATGATGGCCAAGAAATTTGTCCGGCAAATAGTTATCTTTGTCATCATCTTTCAGTACCTTTCCCTGAGACACCAGGGTATAGAGGTTGACTGTTTCTGCCCAGGTGGCTCTCAACATGGATCTGTCAGTGCCACTTTGACTATCTTCTTCTTCAGTTTCTTCAGTTTCCTTTGGGCTTACAACAGTTGTGATTTTGACTGTTCGTTTAAAGCTTTTGATGCGGTCACTCAGATCCAAGAGCTTGAAATCGATTTCCTCTGAATTCTTTGCCACATTTTTGCTAATGACTGTTTGTTTGGTCATGGTCACAATTTGCTTGTTTCTCTTCACTTTCGACACCATTGTGGATTTTTTTAGCGTGGTTGTGCTTTCAAATTCTCTTGATGTGTAAATGTCTTCATTACACTCTAATTTGGCAAGAAAAAATGATTCCGTTTCTGACGTAAGATTTCTCATATCATGTACAAAATTTTTCAGCTCTGTTATGTTGTCATTTGTGAGCAAATGACGGGATTTTTCCAACCAACAAGCTAGCAACATCACGAGTTCATTGTTGATGGTTACATTTTTCCAACTTCTGACAAGAACAATAATTGAAGAACTTTCCAAGGGACTCATTGCATTGCTGGCGCTGTTTTTCGTTAGATGTTTTAGTGCTAAACACAAAAGACGCAGCTGCTTCTGATTATCAGTTTTCCCAATGCCATTGCTCTCCTTCAGATGGTGGAACAATCCCTGCCCGAGATTGTGTGAGCCTCTATGAACTTTTTGGCAACAGCTGGGGATATTCTTTAAATCATCAAAGGTTAAATTGAACCTACGGATTAAGTTAACAAGCTCAGCGAGATGCAGCGGGTTTAAATATGATTTTCTGCTGAGTTTCCTTAACTCGACTAATGCACTAGGTTTATCAAAGTGGAAGGAGGAATATTCTTTGAATTTTTCGATGATTGGCTTCATGAATTTGCGAAGTGCAATTGCAACCCAGAATGTGATGAGAAGCGGATTCCGAGCGATGCCTGGTTGAATTTTGTCCTTAGACATCATTTCACATGATACTTCTCTCTTCATCTTAATGTTGCCTCGGTGAAAACTCCACAAAAGAGAATCAAGAGGAGTCAAATCTTATTTTGCTGTTTTTTATCGGTAAAAGTTAACGGTGTCGGCTCGAAAAGTAGAAACTTTCAGTGGGCCATTTAGGTTAACTTGCCGTTCAATACCTCAACGCGTTCGTTTGCGGACGAGTTCCTCCTCAGTTACGAGTATGATCACTTACACCGCGATGGATTGTATAGTCTCGTCGTTCGACCGGTTCGTGGATTACACATGTGGGTGCCCAGATCTGAAGGAAAATACGATCAAGTTTAAATATAAATAGGTAAAATCTCCGGGGATGGAATCCAAAACGTTAACCTCATAACCATCTAATATTTTTTAGAAATGGGATGCATATCAATAAGTTTATATAAAATACTCGTACAATTTGTACTTACAGGCCTCAAATTACTGAAGGCGCTGCTTTGACTTTCTTCTGATCAAGAAACGCACTCTGAACTGCTACCGTGCAAACGATGATGCTCCAGGGGCTTGGCTCTGGATGTTCCTGACTGATTTCCAGGAATGAAATCTGGTTGCTCAGTCTGTGCCCGGCCAATAATCTTTGCCAAGATAAATCACCAATACATTCATCTGAAAATAAATCAATTATTTGTCTCATGAAAAGTGGAAAAATAAGGCACAACATTCGTGAGAATAAATCGGGGAAATATGTTTTGTCCCCGCACTCTTAACGAGCACTCCGTGAAACATGCAGCTCAAGGTCAGAAATTTTGATTTGTTAAACACTGTATTAAAAATATAGTGCATGACAAGGACGTGGAGGCATAACATCTACAGATAATGTTAGAGAGAGACAAGGAATCCATAAAGGCCAACTGCAAAAATCTTAGTAGTGTTGGAAAGTGATATGTGTATTAAGCAAAGATATTTCAGCGTTTTCCGAAGTGTAGAGCGCGTCCTACTATTGAGGAATGAATACAAGGGAAATGAGGCGTGACTGATAATTATATTTCATACCTATTTCAAATTTTTCCTATTGTCATAAGCATCGACCTGTAAGCAACGGAAACGAGAGTTCAGGCGCGATGCAGAACAAAATTTTTTGTGGAGCATTCCCCCCTTCCTCAAGTTGTGTTAGGTGCAGTTTTAGTATATTTACGGCGCTGATTGTAATGTCTGACACCATCTTCGGTGTTATTGAGGACTATTCCTATCATCTTAATGCTCATGCCAGCGATGGACGGACGTCTGACGCTTATGCGTCTAATAAAAAAAATTTTATAGAACTGAGGATTTGGCACGTTCATTCTCCTATTTCGATCTATTTTCAGAAACTTTTTACTCAATCATAGACGAAATTTTGGTTGAGAATTCAGTCTTTGAAAAGAAATCTCCCTTTCGTCGAAGTTCAGTTAGCGATATCTCTCCCAAATTCGCTGAGTACTTATACCTTCGTATAATGAGAGAGAAACAAGAATGTAAATAGAAGTAGGTACTGAAAAAAACAGTACAACATTAATGCAGGAGTAGGTGGACTAAAGAACGTAAATCCAGTAAATAGGTGGAGAAAAAACTAA